AGGACCGTTTATATTACATACCCTTTGGATTTTTATCGAGATATATAGATGGTCTGTTGCCCTTGCTATATATCTTGAGATTATTGGCACAACCCAATAAATATAATCTGTTCTGACTTAGCATCTTGATTTCAATCTCTTTCTCGCCTCGGTGATGTGACTTACTGCTCTCTTTTCTAGAAATATTTTCATGGAAATTCTTCTGAGGAGATTTCTTCTTTGCGACCTCAGCTGTATGAATGTTTGCGGACTAGTAGATTGTTAAAGTAGCTAGATGCAACCGTAAGTTCTATTCTAATAGTTTCTTCTCTTGCGCTTCTCGTTGTGAAATTCCCTTTCGGCCTCTTGCTTCCCTGTCAACTACAGTCTTCATATTTTGAAATGCGACGACAATCGCCATCTTCTCCCTTCTTGAATCCTGTATTTTTATTGTTAAATTATTTCCAGTTTCTTTCATCCCCCTTAACCCTTTGCATTTTAGTGAACTTATTTCCTTGCTTGGGGTGAAATGATTTAAAAAAATCGTAGGTAGTTCGATGACTTCCCTTATCTTTCTTGTCCTCGATATTACCTGAGCGGCTTAAATTTTACAAAACCTGCTTCCTCAATATGTCTCCAAGAAATTCCAACTGATTCTGATGTGTTCTTCTGGTTTCGATTTCCTCATTGCTTACACACGATCCGTCTATAGAATTCTCAGTATGCCTCATTTCTGGTTTCTCTTCATCTGAGGAAATATTGTTTAGAACTCACTGCGATATAAGAAGGCGGATCAATTAAGTTTTATTTTCGTTCTTTCTAACGGAATATTTCTTTTTTTTTAATTCTTTGCGTAGCTTTTGGAAAGCATCTTTCTTTAATCCAATTCGCTTTCGGATTTAGGTGTCGCATTTGCCATCCTCTGTTAAAACACTACCCACTTAATCAAAGTTTGATTTTTTTTAAAGCATCCCCCCCCCAGGCAAGGCGGAAATACCACTAGTATGCAAGAGGCTCAACAAATGCATAAAAATTAAAAGAGGCGTAAGACAAGGGCGCGTCTTCTCACCGGACTTATTCAAACTTTACAGTGAGGCGATCCCGAGAGACTTATAAGTCCTACCAGAATTTATTATTGGGAGGCACAATCTTAATGATATAAAATATGCAGGATGACACTATATTAATAGCAGACACGAAAAGGAAACTACAGAAACTAAAGAATGTAATTGAAGACAATGAGAATAAATAGATAAATAAACATCAATTGTAAGAAGATAGTATGTATGGTTGTCAGTAAAAGGAACAGCCCATGATTCGAACTCCGCATTAAAGACACCAAAAACAAACAAGTACCAAAATTTAAGTATCTAAAAGTGTTTTAACATTGGTCGGAAAGTACCACACTGAAATCCAAAGGAGCATTGGAATAGCGAAAGATGCCTTCAAAAAGCAAAGCAAAATATTAAGAAACAGGAAAATTTCTTTAGAAGCGAAGAAAACAGTACCTAACTGTTATGTAATATCGGTTTTCCTATATGACAGTGAATGCTGGACAATCTCCTTACAGATTAAGAAGAAGCTTGAGACAACAGAATTATGAATCTACAGAAGGATGCTGAGAATACCATGAAATGAACATGTGAGAGACGACGAAGTTTTAGTAAAAATGGAAAAAAAAATACACTAGAATTCACACAAAAATCCCTAGCGTGCATTAGGAGATATAGCAAAAAGGAAACACTTATTAAGAGTTACAAAAAAATAGGAAGTTGTGGAGAGCTATGATCGCCAACGTCTTGAAGGGACACAGCACATAGAAGAGGAGAAGATCTATGAAATTGTTGAGATTCTCTTATTGGTTGACTGACGTATGAAAAAAAATGGGATTGGTTACATAGCCGGAAGAAAATCCCGTTATTTAAATACTTAGTACGATAGACTAGAAACATTAGTTGTTATCGGGATATTTACTAATAGGCTTTTATTTTTAGAAAAAAAAGGAAAAAAGGACAATGAAGTGTTTTCAGATAAATGTTAACAAATATCTTAATTACTTATATTGCCCCTAACTAAAAAAAAAACAAAAAAAACAATGTTCTTGCGTTTTCTTGTTTGCAGGTGAGCCGCTGATCCTTTGAACTGATAACTGCATTCTATCAAAAAGATTGTTTTTATGTATGATGCTGACATTACAATATTTATTTCTGTAAAATTACAGAAAATGTGGCACAAGGCGTAAAAAAGGGGATTGGGAAAAGGACGGTCTTCATCTGTCTTAATTTTAAACTTAGCTAGCCACAAGCACTGACTCAAGCATACAAACAATATTCCTAACACCAAAACAAGCCTTTCTTACTACATCCACCATAATACCTCATTGTCTCAATGATACTGACATTACACGACAGAGTAAAACTCTGACAGGTTAGATATATTCTATAAAATATGCGATGCGCTGATAGTTAAGAATTTTTTTTAATTGTAAATTTTAAAAAAAGACCGAGTTCAAATTTTATTTCGACTTTTCTATCTAAGCGATTATTGCTTCTATGTGCCGTGTCCTTTCAATTTCATGTCCTTTGTAGCTCTTAGCAACTTTTCTCTTTTAGTCATCTCTCCCAAACGCTGATCCACCAGAGCAGGCCATACGTTTCTTTCCTCTGGCCCGCTTACCTTCAATATATCCTGTGAGTATCAAATTTTCCAAGCCCTCTTTCCTCATTATGCTTCACGGAAATTTCAACTGCCTCTTTCTGATGTTAAGTATAAGTCTCCTTTTTGCTTCCATTTTCTATAAAATTTCGTCGTTGCTCACATGTTCCATGGTATGCTCAGTATCCTTCTGTAGAACCACATTTCTGTTGCCTCAAGTTTCTGCTTCATATCTGAGGAGATTGTCCAGCATTCACTGCGATATAGTAGGACTGATACTACATAACTTTTCAGTACTCTTTTTCTGTTTCTTAATACTTTGCTTAGCTTTTGGAAGGCATCTTTCGCTATCCCAATGTTCCTTCGGATTTCCGTGTCGCACTTTCCGTTCTCTCATGAATTCAGTATTCTTGCAATTGATATTTAGTATTTTCTTTTGTCTTTCTTTTGCTACCTTCTGTAGGAATTATTGGAGCTTCCTTTAGGTGTTTGCTATCAGTTTCTAGTATTTTTTCATACACGTCGGCAAGTTTAAATTATTTCTAGAAATTGTTTTATTTACCATAATTTCGTTATGAAATACTACTAATACTACTACTACTTCTACAAAGAAGAAGATTTTGTTTGTTTTTTTTAAAACTTAATGACCCATCGATCAGCAAGATATCATTTAAGGTCAACCAGTTGTTTTTTTGGGGTTTTTTTAAGGTTGAAATGCTTTCAAAACGGTTTCCCTTTCCTTTCCTTCTTTTTCGATGTTGTCTTCCTTTTTTTTAAAAAAAAAAAAAAAAAAAAACTCACACTTTTCGGAGGTGCGTTGTTCTTTGAAAATTTCTCACCCGGCAAATATCAAAGTTTCCCCTTTCATCATCAGACACCAAATTGGAATTATAGAAGAAGAAACTTGAAAATTCCTCGGTTTCTCTATTTTAATTTCCTGATGAATTTTAATTCTTCAGTTAATGGTTGAATAAACTCATTGCATCGTTAAATATTTGAGCTCAACAACTTTAACAAAATATTGCAATAACAATCATAAATATGAATTCTGGTTATTATTTTAAGAAGTATGGGGGTACAAATGAAAAGATTTGAAATTTACATTTTTTTTTCCATTTCGCTTAAACAGTCGTTAAACGCTTCTATCTACGCTTCTTTTTTTCCTTTTTTTTTTTTTCTTTATATCATATTCTCACTGAATACAATACAGTAGAGAGTATATGGTCATCAGAAAAACGATGATTCCAAAACGCGATTTGCAGGTCGGGAACACTAGAATCAAGCATACGCGGAAGTTTAAATATCTGCGAAGCGTTTTGACAGATGACAGTAAGTGCGGCACTGAGATCCATAGACGTATTGGGATGCCCAAAGGACACATTCCAAAATCTGGGCAGAGTATTGCGAAACAGTAGGATTTCTTTGGTAACAAAGAAAAGAATAATGAGCTGCTACGTGACATCTGTCCTTCTTTACGGCAACGAATGTTCGACGATTTCCTCGAAGATGAAGAAGAGGCTCGAGGTTATGGAGATGTTGTTCTACAGAAGGATGCTGAGGATATCATGAACCGAGCGTGTGAGCTACGATAAGGTCTTGGAGAGGATGCAAACAAGGAGAAGGCTTATACTTAACATCAGAAAGAGGCAGCTGAAGTTTTGAGGGCACATAATGAGGAAGGAGGGCCTGGAGAATCTGATACTCACGGGTCGAATAGAGGGAAAGTGAGACAAGGGAAAACAACGCATGACATACCGAGCGAGCTTAAGCAAGTCGATTCGCATTATATTTTTTCGTCTCGGATGCTACCTGGATTTTACCAAAAACAAAATAATTTCCATGCGTGAAGATGACTGAATGTACAGTCGAAAGTATTTGCGTATTTAAGAAAGACCTTATACGGCTTCTAATTTTAAAAAACAAGGATCATAACATTCATCGAGTGATTGGTAGGTTAATGCATTTTTAAAATTTTGTTAGCGAAGAGATTTCGCCATTTTATATCATTAACTTTAAGAATTTACTTTTTGTATGAATGATTCATTGTAATATATATATATATGTGTGTGTGTATGTGTGTGTGTGTGCGTGTGTGTGTGTGATAAAAATGTAGTTTTAAGGTATGCTATATTTATGGATAAACGTGCTCAATATCTGGGATAGAGCGTATGTCAATATAAAAGTGGATATTCAAGTCAACATGTGAGTGGTTACAGGTCTTCAGGTCTGAAGATTGCGTTCAAGCATGAAACATATTTTCGACGCTCGGTATATATATATATATATATATATATATATATATATATAGAGATATAGAGAGAGAGAGAGAGAGAGAGAGAGAGAAAGAGAGATAGATATGTACAGACTGAAATAGATAGATAGATAGATATAGATAGATAGATAGATAGATAGATAGATAGATAGATAGATAGATAGATATCAAACGAAAAAAGTTTCGTTTCGGTAATAAATTTAACACTAATTAAAGAATTACAAAATGGTTTAAATTTACCCAGAAAATTTATTCAAAATTACAAGAGGAAACGAAGTGACATCACTTATAAAAAATTCCTTGAAGAGATAGAGTTGAGCGAAGAAAAAGCTGTGTCAACACAATGAGCAGGGATGGGAGAGGGAATATAAAGTGGCATCTAGTGAAATACATTGAAAAAATCAAATTTATATCGCCATCATCTAATCGAAAAAATCATATGTATATATAGAAATGGATGAAAATCTATTATAATATATAAAAAACTAAAAAAAAATTAAAATCCTTAATCTAATACATCATCATAATTAACAAATATATATATATATATATATATATATATATATATATATATATATATATATATATATATATGGTTATGAATTTCCTCTTAGTCCCCACAGGGCATATTAAGGGCAAGAGAAATAGGGGTTCAGAGAGAGCCACCAACCTGACGAGCTCATGTGAATGGATGGCGGAACCGGGAGAGGGAGTGGGGGCTACTTAGCAAAGGGAGAAAACTGCTAAGAGACATATAAGATAGAAAGTTGTGGAGAGTCACAATCGCTTAGGTTCTGAAGGAGAGCGACACGAAGAAGAAGAAGAAGAAGAAGAAGAAGAAGAAGAGGAAGAAACTATTCATTATCGAGAAAACTGCTAAGAGACATATAAGATAGAAAGTTGTGGAGAGTCACAATCGCTTAGGTTCTGAAGGAGAGCGACACAAAGAAGAAGAAGAAGAAGAAGAAGAAGAAGAAGAAGAAGAAGAAGAAGAAGAAGAAGATAGCCAGTGATAACTCCCTACCGCCTTTCTTAAGTGTAGCCGGTAAACGGTAAACGCAAAAAAAAACTATTCATTATCGAGAAAAAAAAAAAAAAACAGAAATCAAATTAACCAGTGTATTTTTTTAAAATGAAATCAAATTTTTAAAAAAATTAAAATATAATAAAAGTACTATTCTGACATAGAAGTTATCTCCCTTTAATTGTCTAGGTTTGGATTTTCGGTAAAGTGAACAATTCGATTTACCGGTTTCGATGATACCAACAAATGAAATACGCTTTTCTGAAACCAGATCCGAACTGAAACACATTGAAAAATAACAATAGCCAAATTGGAACTTGTAAGCCTAAGCTGTGTGGTGATAATATCAAAAAAAAAAAAAAAAAAAACCTTTCGACGGAGTCTCTTAGTGCGTCTGTTTCACAAAATATGCCGCTAGAGGCCTGATGCTTTGGAATGAGTCGATAACTTGAGTCTTCTCGTTTCTTTGTCCTCTCATATTAAGTTTTACGATTGTTAGCAATTAAACAGCGCTCGAATGCTCCTCCTTTAGCGACTGAAGTGTCCTATTGTATTCAAGTGAATGGAATAGAAGTTTAACACATTATTTTTTTTTTTTTATTTATTTCCACTTCAAAAAGAAAAGTGAAATCATTGTGTCTGGGTTCGTATTCAAGTAAAAAAGAATATTTTCTTATGAGCGTTCATGTGGTCTCCACCGAGTGCTTGCTGGGGTCACCCATAATTTCTTGAACAAATACAGAATCTGCTAAAAATGTAGAACGTTCTTCAAAAAAGGGAGGTTCTTCAAAAAAGGGTCATTTTCGAAGATCTTATCAGAGGTTCAAAATTTAATCAAGGTAATAAAAACAGACTAATAGTGACACAGCGAGAAAACAACGCCTACAGTAGTTGGCAATACGAAATTAGGAGCAAGAAAGAAATGATTGATCCAAAAAGGGACTTGATCCAAAGAGTTGTAAGTTCAATCCCTGACCACAGCAGTGAGAACAAAATCTTGGAGAGTTATCAAGGCGAATTAATTAAAAACTGAAATACTAAATGGCATGGTACGTGGAATTAGAACAATCTACCCCGTAGATTAAATAAAGGGATCGAAAATTTCAACAAATAACCCCGGAAGAAGGCCGGAGACTACAACGGCTGAAACATCGGGAATGTGACAGTAAAGATGAGAACAACAGTCCGAACAATGTAAATAAAAAAACAAAAACAGATAAAAACAACAATCATATAAAATGGCCTGATCAATTATCGCTCCTTACTCGTCAGAACTCGATCGAGGAAAATAAAATCTTGAGATACAGTCGATGTGTACAAAAATGTAAAAAAGACAAAAATTTGTTAAAAAGGAAAGCATTAAGAAGATATATTGAGAAAGGTATATATTAAGAAAGGCATATATTGAGAACGATATATATTTCATGCACACTTTCTAGGTACATAATTATTTTATCCTCTCCGAACAAAGGTTTACGGTCAATTCATGCTAAATAAACTAGTTCTCGTTCAATCGCCATAGTTAAGCACTGCAGAACCCGGTCAGTGATTAGATGGGAACTGGTTAGGACCAGAGAATAATATAAGCAATCTTGTACAGTCCGAAATATTTTCCGTCTTTAAATAACACAATAAAGGGTTGATAAACCGTAAAAAATCAATCCCAACCAAAGATTCTGTTGAACAAATGCATTGCTAGAAACGGGGTGCAGAATTATTTTCAACTCGGAATTAATTTCGAATCAATAATTCTGTGAAGTTTTCAAACGAAATTAAAATTTAATTTATTGATTTTCTTAAGTTATTAATAACGGCTTCTATTGAACGAGAGGTTTTTACAAAAAAAAGCAGCTAAGCAACCTACTGCTCTTGCTACAAATAACATTTCATTTTTATTGGATCAGATTTAAAATAAATAAAAGTAAATAAAAACGTACCACTTTTTCATTTTCAAAAAAAAAGAATGAAAGTTAGTTGAAGAAAAGATGGATTCTGAATTATCTTATCTGCTAAGAATTTTTAATGCTAAATTAGAAAATTAATACCAACTCATTGCATTTTGTTTAAGAATTCAATGAAATTGATAACTTTGATTTTAAATGGAGTTGAAATTAGTTCCGAGTTGAAATTAATTCCGAATTGAAATTAGTTCCGAATTGAAATTAGGCTGTCACTCCTACTTAAAGCTATAACATTTTTAAGATTTTAGATCGAGTTAAAATTAGTTCAGAGTTTAAATTAATTTCGAATTGAAATTTGTTCTATGTTGAAATTAATTCTCAGGTGAAATTAGTTCTGAGTTGAAATTAGTTCCGAGTTGAATTTATTTCCGGAAGAAAGAAGCATTCCAAAAGGTAAGCAAGGTGCTGAGAATCGTAAAAATTTCGTTAGAAACAAAAAAAAGTGTTGGATTTCTAGGTAATATTATATATCAGTGAATACTGAACAATCCTCCCACAGATGAAGAAAAAACTAAAGGCAGCAAAAATGTCGTTCTACAGAAAGATACTGAGATTATTATGGTTGGAACGAGTATGCAAAAAGGAAGTTTTAAAGAAAAGGACAAAAGAAAGAAAACTACCACTCAGAATCTGATAACAAAAATAACAGCGGATGTTCCTTGGGCAAATAATAAGGTAAAGACTAGGGAAACTTAACCCTCACCGTGCATATTGAGGGCAAGAGATAGGCATGGGCAGTGAGTCACTTACCTAACGAACTTGTATGAATGGATGGCAAAACGGGAGACGTGAGACTTAGCAAAGGGAGAAAAACTGCTAACAGCCATACGAGATAGGAAGATGTGGAGAGCTATGCACGCCTATGTCATGAAGGAACGAGGCACATAAAAGAATAATATCTACGGAAGTTAAGACATTTCTTCCTGCTTCCAATGCCATTTTCCCTAACATATTACTTTCTTTTTGTCAAATATTTTCTTCGGATTCTTGTTATATGTTCCATAGCATCGACGATAATGCATGCAATCTCAGTATTTTGATGCTATGTTCATCATTGCAGGCTTGTCGTGGAGTGTATTTCTAATTGCTTAAAATACAAAGACACACCCATATACTTTGGAGCATCCGAAAAAATAAATCGTTTACTCTTGAAAAGGACATCCAATCACTGGTTAACCAGGGCAGGATATTATATATAAACCTTGAAAAAGGCCTCCAATCAATGGTTAACTGGGGCAAGATATTATATGTAAACCTTGAAAAGGATCTTCAATCAGTGGTTAACTGAGGCAGTATATTATATGTAAACCTTGAAAAGGACCTCCAATCAGTAGTTAACTGAAACAGGTTGTTATATGTAAACCTTGAAAAGGACCTCTAATCAGTGGTTAACTGTGGCAGAATATTATATGTAAACCTTAAAAATGACCTCCAACCAGTGGTTAACTGGTGCAGGATATTATATGTAAACCTTGAAAAGGACCCCCAATCAGTGGTTAACTGAAGCAGGATATTATATGTAAACCTTGAAAAGGACCTCCAATCAGTGGTTAACTGGGGCAGCATATTATATGTAAATTTTAACACCTCCAAAACAAATCTGCTTTTAATCACCACAGAGAAACTTTTTGCCTACCATTAGGATGGCTGATGCTTAACACCAGGAGAACGACACTCTACGCCTTCTTGATCACACGTTTTCCACTGACATAAAATGTAGTGATTATATCGAGTCAATTGCTACGTCTGTTGCAAGGAAGGTTGGTTCACTGAGACGCGCCAAAAATATTCTGAAACCGAATTCATCTTGCACATTTAAAAATTTATCATTTGCCCGTGTATTGAATACTTTCGTCATATCTGGCCTGCTGTTCCTATCGTGCATCGCGAGATTCTTGACAAAATCCAGAAAAGAGTCTTCAATACAACCGGTCCTGACCAGGCATCTTGTGTCCAGTTACATTCTCAGCGACGTGACATGGCTTCCCTCTGCCTGTTCTACAAATATTTCCATAGTAACTATTTGGACGAGCTTTTTTTTCCCGGTGTCTGACTATATGAATCTAAACATGCTACTAGATTGGCAGCTAGGTCTCACCGCCTTACTGTTGAACTAGCTACATTAGATTCAACCGTCATTTTCTACTCGCACTTCCCACCTGTGGTACTCCCTTTCGATTTCAAAAATGCAACGTCAATCGCCATCTTCTGTCTTCTTGAA